TTGTTTCAAATAAACCTGAACAAAATATTGTTTTTTTATTTCAAATCAATATATACGATGTGTTCGGATGGATTTTGAGGTGACTTACTCCGAAGTCGAAAGAATGTTTTTGAGAAACCATATCGTTTTAAATCAATACATACCTTATCGTAAGCACTTTCTATAAGATGTCTCATTTTCGGGAAGCGCATCCATTTTTCAAATGGTGAAGGAACAAGAGCATTGAGAATTACGTCGCAGTTTTCTTTGTTCTCGTATAACTTTGTGTATAACTCCCTTGCTCTATCATCTCTTGTATAAGATGATGGTGAACAAATTGGTAATCATCCTCTCTTTTACCAAGAAAACCCGAAACAACTTAAAAACCACAATTGTTGTCACCTTCAACATTTACAATTCATTCAATGTATTTATGCATAAAAAGCGTCATCTCTTCAATTTGTTTGATTTTTAGTAACAACGGTGGAGGAGATGGTTTGTTAATGCAAACACCCTTGAAAACACTTTAATGGGATTTTGGAGTCGGAGCATCCAGAAGATGTGAGTCAACATTTTCATAGTATAAAGAAAACCATCGCATGAAGTTGCCACTTTGTGTCAATTTGACCTTTTTAAGGGCACTCTTTGTTGCAACCGGTTTCGACAGTGGTTTCATATCCATTGTTTCTGGATAGGCAATCTTACTCAATTGCTCTTTGAAATGCAATTTCATGACGCTATCAACTTTCATGAATCTCTCTTGGATCATTTCCTACTTGACCATGATAGATATGCTTAATTTATCATCCTTCATCGCACCATCATCATCAAAATAGAGCATTTTCCAATGAGGTGAAACTTCATCCATATGTATTGGTTTTTAAAGATTCATCTTCTTTGAAATTAAACAAGCACGTGGAAGATTGTATGTATTCCTAAGTTTACATCCACACTTTGAGCTATCTAAACCTGTTTTATCTGATTGTTTGGCTTCGTAAAAAAATTCAACGTCGCCCGAGATACATTTCCAACCAACTATGAATAAAAGATGTTGTATTTGAGTCGATGTTCTAACACAGTAATGCTCCGACCAAAAGATGTATGTATCTCATTATTTTGGTTTAAGACCATTTGGGTTACGACTTCTCAATATTGACAAAAACCATCTTTATTGTTTCCCAACAAATTATGCAGTCTAACATGTCCATATTCAACTTTGCTGGTTGTTGTATTGCCTAAGTGTCAAAACGATCAGTTCATGAACAAACAATCTTCTCTTTAACCTGGTCTAGAATATCACCTTTAACATGTTCCAACAAATATGGATATCTCGCACACACATTTCTAAAATGTATTACAGATTCTACATATGAGTCTTTTATGGAAGAATTTATTATATCATTCCATACATCCATTATATTTTCCATCACTGCACCAGGTTTGACCATTTTTCCATATTTAAGTTTGACTTATTTGGTGCTAATTGCACGTTTTTCTCAAATTCTCAAACTTTTGGTTATGTGATAGTTACAGAGTAATGCAGACGATGTGTGAAACACCATTGCAACCAAAATCATCAATGTGATGCCACAATCGACGATTATTACTTGTGACATGTTTTCTTGGTCCTTCAACATAGTCTTGCACATTTCATAAGCCCGTGTAACATTTTCTTCTTTTTCAGATCCCAAAAATGAAAAATCAACTTAAAAAGTCATCTCCGTAGAAGTAACACCAACAATTTCCATAAGTGGAAGTCTATACTTGTCTGTTTGATATGTTGAATCAATTATAAGCACAGTGAAAAAATGTTGAACAACTTGATGGAATCAGGATGACTCTGAAATACATCTCGAACGATGATCTTATCCTCACAAACTTTGTATCTAAAAATATATGTGTCATCTTCCAAAAACTTCAACATTTGTTGCATCCCAGAGCTTGGTCCTCTTACGACCTTGTTGTTTTGAGCATGAACGTTGTATATTTTCTTGATATTTGAAATATTTAGAGGTATTTTTTGTTTCAAATATGCGGGTATGTTTTATGGCGCCATCATGTTTAGTGTCATGTCCGAAACAAGTTCCCTTTCCTCTAGAACAAGGAGACATACAATGGGATGACTAGATAACTTGTCAGTCAATGAATGATTATGTATATCAAAAATCACATTAAATTTACATGTTTCATCTACCGTACGGTATCCGCACAATTTAAATGGATACTCACATTTTCTTGATCCAGTGTGATCTTGTTTCAACTTCCTAATCTGTGGTTGGTACATGCCACTTCTTTTGAATCTCATTGTTACAAATGCTTGTATTCTATCTGAACCATTGTCGGACCTTCCAATTACAATGTCAAACTCCAATTTCCTGACATCCATTCGGACCCATTGTAGCATATGTTCACAAATCGTAAACTCTTATTTATTTGTAAATTATGCACGGACATCTACTTCGACAACAATCAATCGATCACTCGATTTAACATCATCCAATTTAACATCATCATTCACAATTTCCTGTTTAACATTATGCTTCACTTCGTTCGATTTAACATTCATTCTCACAATAGCTTTGGGAAACATATTCGACTGCACCACATATAATACCACAAATAACAAAAAAAAATAGATTTAAAAATTCAAAGTATCAACCAAATTCGGAAATGCATATTCGAACCACACCAAACTTTGTCCGGACATGCATATCCGGACTCAACGTTCTTTTTTCAATTCATAAATCATATTAATGCAAGGAATGAAGGATGAAATGGATGAACTTTACTTGCAATTTTAACTTATTTTACTCCCTTTGATGTGATGAAGTACAATAATTATGTTTTGGTGTTGAAAATTGATTGAAAATGAGAGAAATTTTTTTAAGGTTTTGAAAAATAGAGTTTATTTTTTGTATGAAGATGAAGATCATGCAAGATGGTGTTTTATTCAATTTTTTGTTTGACATTTCTGAATATGCATCTCCAAAAATATCACTTAGTCGTTAATTAAATCAACATAGTGAATAAAAACACCATTAATAAGTACATGAGATATTTCGCAAAAACATCTCCGGATACACCCAAAAAATATACTGAGATGCATCTTCAGACCATATTTTGTTCAATATAAGACAAATTTAAAAAAAATAAAATCTAATATGATTTTGAGTGCATTCGAATATGCACCTCTAAATATATAAAGATTATTTCAGATTTTCAAGGATGTGTGGTACACCCTTAAAAATGGAATAAACATCCCCTCTTATTATAACGGGCATCATGGACTAAATTATATTGTGAACCAGAGTTATGGCATGTTGAAATGTGTACATTTTGAAGAAAAAAAAATCAATTCTCATAACTAATTCATGATCATATATAATTCATACGTTATATTGTTATTAAAACAAATTTTCATAACTGAATTTCATTTTTTTTAATGGTTATAATTTAATTATCAATCGATTATATTTCTAACCCGTTTATAATTAGTTTATTTTAAATTTTATTAAAAATATTTTCATTCCAATAACTTTTTATTTAAAAAAATGTATTTTTTCTAAAATGAAAAAAGAAAACCGTATTTTTTTATTTATAAAAAATATATTTTTTAAATAATTTATCAATTTAAGAAAAAAGAATTTTCCAAAAAGAAAAAAAAAGTATTTTTTGTTTTTCAAAAAATAAATGTTTAATATTAGGAACTTTTTATTTTCAGAACAAAAAATTCAAAAGGTAAAAAAAATTGTATGTTTTGTTTTTTGAATTTTTTTTATTTTTAGAAAAAAAAAATTGTTCTTTCATTTTTTTTTCTTCAGAAAATAATAATTATAAAAAAAATTCAAAATATATTCATAGAAAAAAATCTTTTTATGAAAATTTATTTTTACAAAAGAATCAATTTAAGATACCTTTTGTGATTTTTAAAAAATAGATTAATTTAGTTTTTGTTTTGAATATGGATGTTTAATTTTTTTTTAAATATATGAATTCAGTTAAAATCATATTAATAATATAATAAAATTTAATTAAAATCAAACTAATAATTAATCCATTTTTTGTAATCAAATTAGAATATGGATAATCCAAATAGTAGGTTAATTTGAACACCCATAACCTAGATGTAACATTATAACGGGAGTGTTCTCTTCACTTAATGGGATGAGACTAGATTGTTGATGTTGCTGAGAGTGCTAATTACTAAAAAGGCATTCTCCATATAAAATAACATGAGCAACAAAAAATTCTCTAAAGCAACACTTCTATAATATTGATTAGTTGGTTCTGCAACATTGCTGCAGTGGCTCTAATGGCGGAAGTGCAGAATGAATGTAAATTAACGTATAGATCAGGATTTCTCTCCTTCCCTTTCTTTACTCTCTATCTCTTTCTTAATCTTATTGTCTCTCTTGATAATGTATATATCAGTAAAAGAGAGAATAAGATTAAGAAAAATATAGAGAAATAGATAGTAAGATGAGAAGATAAAAGAAAAATGGAGAGGATCAAAGATGTATAAATAATGTGGTGAATCTGGTATAGAACAAGATCTCTTATGTCATCACACTGCATAGGGTGAATATTTGCGGCTCAAGTATGCAGAGAGCCTCCAAAGTCAGGACTAACAGGCCTCAAGTACACCGGTCACTACCTTAATGTGAACCTATCACAAATCTAATTGCTTAAAAGTATCTTGCACTTTTCTTGTTCATAAACAAGAAAATAAGGGCCTTACAAAAACTCCTTGAATCAGAGTTAGAGTGATCCTTAAAAAGGCTTGAGAAAATATTATCAAAACAGGTGCTAAATGAAGAGATGAAATTCACCATCCAACATTATTAGGTTCCTCAATCACAATCTCGCCAGTACCATTTACCAAATAAAGTTGTAAAACATTATCATCTAGTTATTGCTCAAGACACCAAGAAGAAACTAAACACTGTCTTTTAAATCACCCACTCACTATGAATAGCTAATAAACCCCCTCACAAGGGTGCAATGTGATGATAAAGAAGGAACTACTCTTTGGTGTAGTTTCTGACAACAAAGGCTAAGCCCAAAATCAGGAGAGGCACCAGGAACTGCAAAATCTTGATCACAAATTCCGAAGTCTTGTCAGGATTGTACTGAGATTGCTGAGGCGGAATGTAGGTGCGCTTTAGTGGCACAGTTTCTGGATCAATCTCACCGATGTAGTATTTGTCCATCATTTCTCTAGCAGAATCACTGTGTCCCACATCTTCAAAATCATTGGTTGCATCTTTCCCTGTAATCCATACAATACAGTATAATCAATATGGTTATCCTAGGTGCTTTAGTGATATATACCCTTTGAATGATATAATCATACCTGTTGCAGACAACAAAACCTCGTCGCCTCCAGGATGATCCTCCATAAAAGGGGTGACATCGTACACCTAACATTTGTTAATAGACAGAAATTCAAATTAACATTAACATTATTACATACTAAAACTATGCAGTTTAATAATTTGTCTTTGTCCTAATGATGGACCATTCAGGCCAATAAACACAGTGTTGTGTATTTTTCAGTAGGGAATTTGAATAGCCTCAAAATTGTCCATCACAGTAGCAGGTAATGTTCAAAATTGTAGAAGTGGTTATAGATTTCCAAATAGCTAATGTCTTGTAGGAAGATGGTTTAGGGGAAGGCAGCATTAAGATTAGGGTATATACGAGTACCATAGCCAATAAAAGCAACTAAATTCTAAGCTAGTACGGTTGAAACAGATTCCCAGCTATATAAACTTTATAAAGGATGAGCAGCTTCTTAGACAATACAGTTGTCTATCAATGATATTACTATACTCTAATCACAAAACAGTAAATTCAAACAACGATGACAGGTGGCTACACGTTTGTACATTGTTGAAGAGAACTTTTATGCTAAGTTTTCTTAAAATAATCTAACCTTTGAATGATGATGCCTAAAGGAAGGTTTGTTGTAAACCAAAGAAAGAGGGAGGGTTTTGGTATTGCCAATTTGGTCCCTAAAAGCAAAATGCTCCAGTAGCAAGTGGCTATGGCATTTTCCCTAGTAACATCATTCCCTTTGGAATTGGTTATCTAGATTACAACTTCGGCAAAAAAAAATGTGAGGTCAAGTTTGCATCATTATGCCACATTTAGGTCCTTGGTAGCCGCCCTTTAAGGGTAGGTAACAGCCCTCATCAAGAGTGGCCTTTGTTTGACTTTTATGTGAATCTCTACTTTAGAATTTTTTTTTTGTTCTGTACTAGTTTCCTAGATTTTGTTGTTTGATGGTATGGCAATGGAATCTTCCAATCCTTTTTCAACTTCTTACATCGATCGTGTAGAAAAAAATAAACAATTATTACTCAGTCAAACATGTAACATAAAATAAGATGCAAGATAACCTGAAAAATATAATAACAGGACTCATAATTTGTGAAACACACTGATCCAGACACAGCATAATCAAAACATCATCAACCTTCAATCTTAAAAATAGAAACTAAATAGCAGATAAAATAGTTCAAAAGTAAAATAAATTGCAATAAAGAATATTCTACAGCAACGCACAAGACCCAGAAAATAAAGTTATACATGCATGAACCCCAAAAGCACAAATCTCATCTTCAACAAAAATAACCAAATGAATCATTCAATTACCAGAATAAACCATTCATGCAACAAAAAGAAACAGACCTTTCCAGAAAGAATAAGCCAGCAATCTTTGGTTTTGCTATGCTTTGCAACCTCTTCGAAAGTGTGAACCTTTGGATCTGAAGCCATTCTTTTAGTTCTTTCACTGCCAAAAAAAATCAAAGCATACATAAAACCCAGAAAAATTAAAGTCAAACCCCCAAATCAATTTCATTCAGAGCATGAAAAAATAGAATCAAAAAAAGGAACATCAAATCAAATCATCACAAGAGAGAATAAACAGAATAAAAAAAGAAAAAGCGCGACAAATTGATAGAAAATTGTTAAAAATGGATCGTGAAAAGCGTAGAGGGAAAAGCGATTATGAAGAGTCAAAAAGAGTTACCACTTCCGGTTGTTGGCAGATTCTTGAGTGTCAAATCTCTTCACTCTGGGGTTGTTGATGGCGATCAAGCATGTGCCTACTTATAAATCTTCACCAATTCTCATTCGGCTATAAATTGCCCTTGTGGTTTATTTGTATTACAAAATTGCCAATAAAATTTTATTTACTACTATGGTAATTGTTTGTGACGTGAATGGAATGTTTTTTCTTCTTATGTTTATGTATATTGAAGGACAAAAATGGAAAGTGGTATTTATTTTTTTGAAATACTAGTTGCTTATAAAGATTTCTTATTTTGAGAAACTAGTATTTATTTTATAAAAATACTAATTGCCTAAAAAAAATGTTGCTACAGAAAATGAAAAAGTATTATTTTTACACATTTATCAATAGAATTATTAATATCATTTTTTATGAGAATGAAATATTTTATTAAGAATAATAATATTTTAAAATTAATTTTAATTGTTTCCTAATATATTCAGAATTGACGTCAATTGATAACGTAGGACTCTGAAATTAGTGATATTGATCGTTAGGGTGGTGGCGCGAGGTGGATTTGCAAAAGTTAGCATTTCAACGTTTAAGTTAGTAATATAATTTGTTCTAGACTAGGCCGACATTTGGCTCATAGTCGAGTCGGCCCAAACCCCACCAGGTTGGAAGGCTTAATAAGACCTCATCGTCGGGCAGAGACCTGTCGGGTAGAACATCTTCTCCTGTCGGGCACGGACCAACGACAGTCGGGCAGGATCCTTATATTTGCCCGACTCGCCTCTCTTCTGTCCCACGGTCGGGCAGAACCCATCCAGCTCGGGAAGCTCCTCTAACCTCCCCCACGTTCTCAACGTGTCCCCCACGCGGAGACACGTCATCAGGTAACTATCTGTGTCCCAATTATTCGGTCCTCCACCTATCGGATAGCACAGAACAGTTACACTAGGGCGAAGACCACGTGCTGGTTGTAACAGCCCAATTTTCAATAACTAATTAATGGTACTAATTAATTGGTTTGTGTGATTTATCTAATTTAAGTGAATTATTGGATTTAACTGATTTATTCTACTTGGTAGAGTAATGTGGATTTATCAGATATTCTCTATTTAATGATGAGATATCTTATGAGAAAATGAATTGATAGATATTTTTGAGAGATGAGATATATTGAGGAGAAATAAAAGAGAAGGATATATAAAAGAAAGAAGAGAGAAAAGAAAAGGGATAAAAAGAAAAGAAGGAAGAGAAGAGAAAGAAGGAGAAAGAGGAGAAAAGAGGAGGAAAAGGGGAAAAGCTCGGAATCATCAAGAATCGACTTATAGCTTGCGATTAATCAAGGTAAGGGTGTGAAATATTGTTATCTTACCAATGTATGTGATTATGTATGGATTGTTTGGATTGTTTGGTTGTTTTTCCTCATTTTCCATTCTAGGGCATAAATGAGTTTAATCGGTAGAAACCGAGTTTTAACGGTTAAAAATGAGAATAAGTGGTAAAGTCTAGTCGAGGGATGTTATATTAAGGTTGTGGAACCAAGTTGGTGAGAATCGGTCGGTTTTTGGGGTGATTGAATAATTTTGGACAGTTAGGGATTTCTGGGTTCGCAGGTTCACCAGGCGAGCAGGAGCGAAGCTTCGCCAGGTGAAGCCCAGCGAGTGGGTAGCGAACCAAGTCAGTAGCCAAAGTTAGTCTTTGCTGGCGTGTTCGCCAGGCGAAGGAGTGTGGCGAAAGTTTGCCAGGCGAGTGAACCAGCGAGTGTTAGCGAATACATTCCAGTAGCTACTGATTGTCTACGCCAGCGAGTTCACCAGGTGAATAAGGTAGCGAGCATTCGCCAGATGCCTCGCCAGGCGAAGTGCAGCGAATGTAAAAGCATTTTTCCATTTCTTGTGATTTCCATCCAATGGTTATTTGTTTGGTTCAATTATGTTAATCCTTGTATAATATGAATAGTTTGTGTACTATTGAGATGAGACGTGTTGTGGATAGCCTTATGGCGTGAATCCTAGACTGTGAATTATGGCCTTTTGGCAATTGAATGCATTGTTTGAATTAAACGTGAATGCATGATGAATGTGATTGAGTTCGTTGCAGTTGGCACGACCTTGTGAGTGCATATTGATTTTATGTGATAGTATGTGAAGAATGCATGAGAATATATATATATATATATATATATATATATATATATATATATATATATATATATATATATATATATATATATATATATATATATATATATATATATATATATATATATATATATATATATATAGTGAATATATGTGCATTGCTTGGTAATGTGATAAAGATGTTGAGAATATGTCACGTGCGAGATTCTTATTCACTGGGGTAGAATGACAAGGTGTCGTTCCTAGTGTAGTAATCATCGTGGTAGAATAACTGAGATGTTGTTCCTGGTGGGGTATAAGCGATATACCCATAATCCCTAATGAGGATTTGTGAGAGTTGATGAGTTTATATGAGTCATATGGTATATATGTGATTGTTGTATGAAAGTGTGAGATGTGGTCGTTTGGCAATTATGTGCATAATTGTATGTACTTATATGAGGTGAAATGCGTAATTATATATATATATTTGTGAATATGTATACATTTCAAGAGTGTATGGGGTCGTTTTGCATGTGAAGCATCGTGATTGCATTCTTGTGTCTTGATCCCGCGGAGGATCTGCAGAAACCTCGTGTGCCCTTGTGGGGTGTGAGCGATGGTTTATTTTTTATCCCTAGGAGGATCTGCAGAAACGATCGTGTGCCCTTGTGGGTTGTGAGTGATGGTTTATATTTGATTTCGTGGAGAATCTGCAGAACGATTGTATGCCCTTGTGGGGTATGAGCAATCGGATTGTGTGCCCGTGTGGGGTGTGAGCAATCCTGAAACACCGTGTGCCCATGTGGGGTGTGAGCGATGGGTGAATATCGTAGGCCCGACGGGGAGTTACTTCGGTAACGAGCGATGGTTCTATTTGGTTCTTCAATTGAACTTACTGAATGAGTCGGTACCACATTTGCATCTGCATAGAGTCGTGAGTCGGTCTCTATGAGTTGCATTTATCATCTTTATATGTGAATTGGTGAAATAAACATGTTGTTTATGTTTATGTGAATTGGTGAAATAAACATGTTGTGTATGTTTATGTGAATTGGTGAAATAAACATGTTGTGTGTGTTTATGTGAATTGGTGAAATAAACATGTTGTGTGTGCTTATGTGAATTGGTGAAATAAACATGTGGCGTATGTTTATGTGAATTGGTGAAGTAAATATCATTGTAAATGTTTATGTGGAAAGGACATGACTTGTAAAAGCATGATTGATGAATGTGCTTAATTAGGTAAACATATATTGTGACATATATGACAATTATAATGAATTGTGGTGAGAAAATGTGGAATATATGTATTCTGTACTTGTGCATTTATATATGATTATATGCATTGTTATTATGATAATATTTCTCACCCTTCTGCTGGAATTATGTCATACATGACATCGTGCAGGTATCAAGGTGTAGTACTACTCGTAGTTGCGAGGTCGCTATTGGTGTAGCTGTTTAGTGATTTAATTGTATTGGGCCGAGTCATGCTCTGGTCATGTAACACTGGGATCGTTTGGGTTATGTTTCAGATGTATATTGTGATGTTGGCCTCAGTGCCTAAGTGATGTTGATTTATGTGATAAACACAAATATTTCTTTTATGAAATAAATTGTGATATAAATGAATCCGCTGCTACATGCAAATGAATTTTGTAAAGTATGATTATTTATTTCAGTGTTAATGAGCATGACAGATGGTTTTTAGTAATTTGGAAGTGTATGTGTGATGCCCTTTGTGAATGCATGTTAATTTTACTCTGATTATGCTTATATTTTCCGTGGGGTTTAGAATGGTGTTACATTAGTGGTATCAGAGCTGGTCGGTCCATCCGGCCAAGTTGTCTAATGTTGTCTGTTCTCTTGTATGCGGCATGTGTGTAAAAATACTGTCGGTACATGTTTGTTGTTCTAAACCTTGTTTGCAGGAGTGGAATTGCAATAAATGGGGGAGAAGCTTGTGCTTTTCCAGGATGCTGCAAGCGTGAAGTTGTAGTTCAGTGTGTGGTTGAACGCTCTTATAGTTTGGTAAAGATGGTTTATGCCCCATCATGATTTCGGCTATCTATTGACAAATTGAGGAACTGATCACCCTTAATCTCTTGTTGATAGTAGTTGGGATTGTGTTGGATGGGATAGACGTGTCTTGGGAGCTTAGATGGCGTGAGCAGTGAATTGTTTGGAGTGAAGCCAAGTGCTTAAGAATTGTTTTGATAAGTCGGCGCAGGACAATGTTGAGATGTTTAATTTTGACGGGGATTTTGAGTATTAACGAAAGTGGAAAGTTGGCAGTTTGCCGATTAGTTGTGGTTGTCTGGAAGTTGTCCTGACAAAGTAGTGATATACAGTCAGGACGTGAAGGGGAATTGTGATTGACTTAGTTACGGAAACTAGTCCGATATTGAGAGCTCCATGTTATATGTCTAATTGGATAGTCAAGGAATTAAATTGATGGGGTAATTTTGAGACTTGTGTCTGGTGTGTGCTACGACAACAGATTATGAGGTCGAGTATGTAAATGGTGGATAGTGACTTCTGGTGATTATTAAAGGAAGTAAGATGTGTGTAATGGCCTTCTAAGTGTGGAAATGTTGTTTTCGTATTTTGTCATAATGGGAGAACCGTAA